AACTATTCTTGAAGTTCAAAACGTTTCATTTATAATGCTCAGCAGTTTCAAAGTTATGCCCCAGACAATCCTTGTATAAAGTGTTTGTATGGCTTGTTACAAAGACAATGCCCGTTACGTATTTGACAAATCATTCATTGTTTGTAAATTATAAATGATAATACATTAGTGATAACACTATACTCCTCGGATAATTTTCTTCAAGTTAAGGGGAAAACCCAATGATTATATATATATATATATATATTTACCATTGTCACTATCGTAAATCATTTAGGTCTTTTTGAAAAGACATATTCCCTAAAATAACATTTTGCCATGCATTTTATGGAATAGAAGTTATTAGAAATTTGAGTTTGTCATAATAGAAATAAAAAATTTAAAAAGGAAAACTGATGGGATCGAACTCCGTACCTTTACATTCTAAACCCCACACTTTTTTTTCATTTTTGTTTTTATACTACCCCATCACCAATGTTCCAATGTTGCCGTACACGATGTATACGAGCACGGCAACACAATGAGTGTCCAATTTATAATCTGCAAAGCGTTTGAAAAACTTGACAAGGGAAGTTACTCTTAGCCAGAAAAAAAATCTGCTGAAGTGAGATTACTCCAAGTAAAACAAACCCCGAGTGGAACTCTCCTTCACGATCGTAACTGATGCAGTGTTAGACTTTACCGTAAAACAAACCCCGAGTGGAACTCTCCTTCCCGATCGTAACTGATGCAGTGTTAGACTAACCCCGAGTGGAACTCTCCTTCACGATTGTAACTGATGCAGTGTTAGACTTTACCGTAAAACAAACCCCGAGGGGAACTCTCCTTCACGATCGTAACTGATGCAGCGATAGACTAACCCCGAGTGGAACTCTCCTTCACGATCATAACTCATGCAGTGTTAGACTAACCCCGAGTGGAACTTTCCTTCACGATCATAACTGATGCAGTGTTAGACTAACCCCTAGTGGAACTCTCCTTCACGATCGTAACTGATCCAGTGTTAGACTTTACCGTAAAACAAACCCCGAGTGGAACCCTCCTTCACGATCGTAACTGATGCAGTGTTAGACTACCCCCGAGTGGAACTCTCCTTCACGATCGTAACTGATCCAGTGTTAGACTTTACCGTAAAACAAACCCCGAGCGGAACTCTCCTTCACGATCGTAACTGATGCAGCGATAGACTAACCCCGAGTGGAACTCTCCTTCACGGTCGTAACTGATGCAGTGTTAGACTAACCCCGAGTGGAACTCTCCTTCACTATTATAACTGATGCAGTTTTAGACTTTAACGTAAGACAAAATGTGATTTTTTGCCTCTGGTACCTCTAGCTTTACAGTACAGAGCTGATAAGAGTAATACCTCATGCATTCAAATGTGCACCTACCAACTAACAGCCATGGTAAGGTCCTAATGGAAGCGGAAGACGGTTGTCCTTGACCTACAGCTCTTGGCTCTTCAGCAGTTACATCAACGCTTACTAGAATCATATAACTAACCGTGAAATATGTGTTATGGGAGTTTTGTATGAGCATAACCTTTGATTCGGCATCCTCGAGTTCTAGAGGTTACACGAACTTATGTTCACTGAACCCCTGAAATATGTCATGACAAAATTGAAGCCACGCTGCTCGCTATTTGGTTTGTATCAGGTAAAAGAAAAATGAATCGCCAGGCTACTTACTACCTCTCCTATAAATTCACAGAGGAGCGACACCTGACTTCAAAGTCGCCTGTCACTTTTAGCGTAACACTGTTGCGCAATTCTTATATTGTTCTTAAAAGGATCAAACGAGTGTATTTGCATCATCCTCCAGGTACAAAACCTTCGATTTCCTTATGACGTATTACAGGGGCGTAGAGAACGTAGGTGATCGGAACTCATATAATGTATAGGACGTTGATGCTGTTGAACTCCACTATCAGCAGATGCATTTCATAAATAATACTAAGACTTGATACTGATGTCACAGTTTGAACGAGGAAGTGATACAGACAATGATATGTGTTAATAACAACGGCAACTGTGGTGGCGTATTTGTGATATTTCGTCTTTTCGCATTTTTTTTTGCCTGAGAAAAGACGCTAAGCGACAAAACGAAATAACGAAAAGAGGAAAAAGAACGCAAAAAGGAGAGAGAAAATACACTATAGTATTTCTACGATTTCGCTAAATTTTTACTTCGGTTTGACGTTTTTTCATTGTCTTTTTGGCGGGGTTTCGTCCTTTCGTTATTTAGCTTTGACGCTTAAGCGTTATTTCGTCATCCCGCTTTTTCAGGGTTTCGTCTTTTCGTTATTTAGCTTTGTCGTTTTAGTGTTATTTCGTTATTCCGCTTTTTCAGGGTGTCGTCTTTTCGTTATTTCGTTTTGTCGTCTGGCGTCGTTTCGCAGCCGACAAGGCGAAAGACGAAATGTAACATATAATGAAACAATGTGTTGATTTTTAGCTCACCTGCCTGAAGTGGGGGAAGTGAGCTTATGCCATGGTGCAGCGTCAGTCGTCCGTCCGTCCGTCAACTTTTCCTTAAAACGCTTTTAGTCCTGAATGTCTTTGTAAATTTCAACTAAATTTGGTCTGGAGCATCCAATGGCTCTCAATTTTGTATAAACTGTCGGTGTGGTCCCCTTTGGGGCAGATGGGCCGCGCCCAATAGGAGAAATAGAGGTAAAACGTTTAAAGCCCTTCTTCTACAGTAGGGATTAAGAGATTTTATCCTTATTTAGTGTGGAGCATCCTTGGGTCGAGGGGACTCAATTCTGTATCAACGGTGGGTGTGCCATCCCCCCCCCCCCCCACACACACTCTAGGGGCAGAGGGGCAAGGCCAAATAGGGGAAATAGAGATAAAACCTTCAAAATCCTTCTTCTACCGTAGGGATTTTATCCTTATTTAGTCTAGAGCATATTTGGGCCAAGGACACTCAATTTTGTATAAACAGTGAATGTGGCCCCCCTGGGAGCAGAGGTACGGGGCCCAGTAGAGGAAACATAGCAAATTCTTCAAAAACCTTCTTCTTCTGTTGGAATGACAAGATTTTGTCCAAATTTGGTATGAAACATCCTCGGGTGAAGTGGAACTAACTGTGGGTGGGTCTGACCCTCCTTGGGCCTGAGCGGTTTGGCCAAATAGGGGTAATTTAGCAGTCTTTAAAGTTCTTCTTATTTTGTAGGAATGGCAGGGGTTTATCCTTATTTCGCCTGAAACATCCTTGGGTGAAGGGGACTTAATTTTGTATAAACGGTTGGTCTGATTCCCCTTGCGGAAGAGGGGCCGGGCCCATTAGGGGAAACATATTTTTTTTCAAAATCCTTCTTCTTCTAGCTGTTTCAACCTCAATTTTGCTAACATTTCCAGGTGAGCGATACAGGCCCTCCGGGCCTCTTGTTTTTAAACGACGCAAGCTTATAAGATGTGACTGTTACAAATAATAACTTCAAATTTAATGAACTCCGAGTTGTATTTGACCTATTAAAAGAACACCAGTGCATAATCACCTAATAACACTGCTTCTAACTGTGTATTTTTCGTCGCATAAATCATATCAGTTATAAAGGAAACGATAATTTGATTTCAATAAAACAGCTCAAACTGCAAGCGTGCGACTTTTACAAATAATATTTTTTAAATTTCATTTACTCTGGTTTATACATTAACCGTTAAAAAGAACCCAAATGCATTGTCATTTATTATCACTGCTTCTAACCAGATTATTTCCACCTCCAACACCTTAGAAGTTAACATATAGAATAGTTCCCTGCTTGGATAATGCATCTTCGCTGGTCAAGTGTTCGCTCGGAGTGAACACTTGGCTAGCGAAGATGGGAGAATGTGACAGAGGAATCGTGAACTTCCCGAGGGGTAATTCATTTTATTTATTTCCCCCTAGAGAACCAGAAGATTCACCACTCGGGTTGGAGATTTCTCTGTCACACATTTAAAGAAGGAGATGATTTTTGCCTTTTTCCTTTCAATAATGTGTTGACGACATATCTGACTGTTCCGTGACGTCATACTTTTGTTCATTTTCACTTCTCGTACCTAAAATCTCACTATTTTACCATTCTCTATTAATCACCCGTTCTTTTATTTTTTTCTTGTTGGTTTCATCCTATTGAACATTATGGTCAGAAGAAAGGATTATTTTGTTTGGTTTTATTTTATTCGTATTTTTACACAAGATGTATCAAACAAGAATCTTGACTTTTCAAGTACTGGTCTAAAATTGCTATAAAAAAAACCTTTTGAGTACGCTGTCAAAAACGTAGTAATCTGAAGGGGAAAACAGTAACAGACATTATGTTTTTAGGCCTTCATAAATAAGTAATATCTCGCAGAGTACTTTGCAACAGTTTTATTAAAAAATACATATAGTTTGTATAATTGTTCCAGGTCTATGTGTGCTAGTTAACCCTGTTTACAATCTCATAGTTAAGTCTTATAACATTTCATAATTTCGTCTTCTGATTGACACGAATTCAGATTTGTTTACTTTGATGGTTATTAGTCTGGCTGGCACCAACACCTCCCTGTAAGGTAGGTCTGTGTTTATATAAAACAGATTCATCAGTTCAACGTTTAGACAATTTAAACACATTCCCTGTGCCAACAGTGTTAGCGTCTCTGGCTTTCAATACTTTGATTACTAACTCAGTTTCTAGATAAATGAATGCTGCAATTTCACAGCTTTTTGCATAGTTAATATGAAATTGTTTTATTAGTTTCGAAAGATATTCCAAATAAATAAATTGGGAAACTTACAACACATGACCTTTTAGAACGATTAATTTCATTACTGAATGAAATTGTCTCGACTTTGTCGTCTGTTTACGAAATACCAAACAGGAAAATTCAATTTAAAACATCTGGGATGTGATTAAAAGGTGCTTCAATCACGCGATAATAAAGATGGATTCTGGAAACGGAATAACGATGTCAAAAAACGCAATATTTGTGATAATATGCAAAATGAATTACATGATTAGCAAATGTACATTACACAGAAAATGGCGGCGTAGTACTCCTTATTGCACTTCTGTATACCACTTGAATGTTTGAGTCATTATTTTTGGCCGTGGATAAAGTTCTCAACCCTGTCCTAGCCATGTCACCGTTTTTATCGGGTTGTGAAAAGCAACGACAAAAAAGAAGGAATATTTGACGTCTAAATTTCCTGCCTGTTATGCAATAAAGGAAAAAGTTGATTGTGTGATTCAGATACATCAATAGTTCAGTAACTGTCTTTGCAAGGAAGAAATCTGCTCTTTGCTGCTGGTTCTGTTCATTCCAGGACTTTGTCATGATCAGGATTATATTCATTGGGAGAGTTGTTAACAAGAAGGTGAAGGACACGAGAAGAAGCATCATAGTTAGTTTCCGGCTCACCTCTCCTGTCGAGTGCTTCCTTACATTACAGCCTTTGCCGTTTCTGTCCTTGGTTAGCAAATGTTTACGTTCGTTTTTGGCCACGCTCACTTTCTGAATGATACGTCCATTAAGTATTGATAAAATTACAAACGGAACGAATGAGTATATGCCGGCATCAACCCACGGCCACACATCGTTGACTAAGGCAGAGAAATTGTGACCGGCATCGCATATATACATTGGTTCTGTTGTGTTATTTACGACATGTAGTAATTCTAACGTCCAAAGGAAGTGAGAATTTACAACACAAAGAGCCAGGATCGGGACAAATACTATAAATCTTGCTTTTCTGATTCGACACAGATTAGCGGCTTGTAGAGGATAGCACACTGCAATGTATCGCTCTAATGTCACGGCCACAATAAGCCACACAGACGAATCACTACACACATAACCCAGGAAAGCGACCACCTTACATGTCCAGTTAGTTTGGTCCTTGATGTCAAAGTTAGAGAGTTGGGCCACCCAAAGACGCAATAGGCCTATATATATGACGAGCAGATCCATGATGGCCAGTGCGCTGAGATAAGTGTACGTTGATACCTTGCCAGAATTGATACGAAAGACGGTGAAGGACAAAATGTTTCCTATGGTTCCAATGAGTATCATCACAGGTGGAACATACAGTAGTAACCACTTGTGAACGCGGAAGGATGCGAATTCTTCTAGTGGTATACTGGGTTCGCTGAAGTAGTTGAGAAGCTGTTCCTCATTGGATAAGTTGAGTTGTTGGATGAGGAGGTTGCGTTCATCCTGATTCATCTGTTGGATCTGATAGAGAATGCGCTGAAAGATCGTGTCTGACTCTGGCTCCACCATATCCCAACTGTTAACGATAAAACAGAAATCGTATTTATTTACCGCTGATTACGCTATACCACGTCCCAGAATGACCTAAGCTATTAATATAACGCTTATCCCAATAAAATTAATTATAACACTGATATTACATGTTAATAACTATCAGCGAATTCTCCCCTTCCCTGGCTAAATGAAATTTAAATAAAAAGTTAAACAATATTTGTAGAATTTAGCAAAAACTATAAAATGTTATAGCGTGCTTAGACAATATTACAGCGTACTTATAAAATGTTACAACGTTCTACTATAATACTACAGCATACTAACACAATATTTCAGAGCACTAATAAAATACTACAGCATACTTACACAATATTTCAGCGTACTAATAAATTACTACAGCATACTTACACAATGTTTCAGCGTACTAATAAAATACTACAGCATACTTACACAATGTTTCAGCGTCCTAATAAAATACTACAGCATACTTACACAATATTTCAGCGTACTAATAAATTACTACAGCATACTTCCACAATGTTTCAGCGTACTAATAAAATACTACCGCCTACGTATACAATGTTACAGCTTACTAATAAATAACTACAGCATACTTACACAATGTTTCAGCGTGCTAATAAAATACTACAGCCTACGTATACAATTTTACAGCTTACTAATAAATAACTACAGCATACTTACACAATGTTTCAGCGTCCTAATAAAATACTACAGCATACTTACACAATATTTCAGCGTACTAATACATTACTACAGCATACTTACACAATGTTTCAGAGTACTAATAAATACTACAGCCTACGTATACAATGTTACAGCTTACTAATAAAATAATACAGCATACTTACACAATGTTTCAGCGTACTAATAAAATACTCCAGCATACTTACACAATGTTTCAGCGTACTAATAGAATACTACAGCCTACGTATACAATGTTACAGCTTACTAATAAAATACTACAGCATACTTACACAATATTTCAGCGTACTAATAAATTACTACAGCATACTTACACAATGTTTCAGCGTGCTAATAAAATACTACAGCCTACGTATACAATGTTACAGCTTACTAATAAAATACTACAGCCTACTTATACAATGTTTCAGCGTACTAATAAAATGATACAACGTACTGATATCTAGAATGATTCCCTCATCTGTCCGCAGCTCGGAATGAAGTGATGTCTCCTTCGCTCACATCACATCTATAAAGGAGGAGGACATTGTGTAAATTATCATTGTTTTTCGCAACTCCTGTTACAGGAACTGGTTGTGTGAAAAATATCAAAGCTGGAGTCCATCTAATAAACGTCAAACAATTTATTTTATTTTACTAAATAACATATCTGACTGTTCCGTGACGTACTGATGTTGTTCCTTTTCACTCGTCATACCCGAGGGGTTGATAGAGAAAATCGTAACCTAGGGTAGACAGAAGAACAGGAAAATCTGGAGATAATTTTGTGAATGAGGAGGGGGGTTAGTCTTGGTTGAGCTGGATGATATTGAATCGAACAATGATTGGTTTGGTTTGGTTTAGTATTGTTTAACGTCCTATCAACAGCTATGGTCATGTAAGGACGGTCTCCTCCGGATCCCCTATGTGCAAGATGCATGCGTGTAGTGTATGCGTGTAGTGTATGCGTGTGTGTTTTGGAGGCTTGCGATATGTTCGTGTTTGTCTCCTTGTGACATACTGCCAAAGACACCAAGCAGGACACTTCAGCCGGTCACATTATACTGACAACGGGCGAAACAGTAGTCCCATTCCTAAATTGCCGAGCGTTAAGCAGGAGTAGAAACTACCATTTTTACAGACTCTTGTATATTTCGGTCAGGGGACGGAACCCAAAGCCTTCCTCACAGGGGCGAACGCTCAATTTAAGGCCGGAAGTGAGGCATTGTCAAGGGAGACATTAGGAAGAAGAAAGTTGTTTAGAAAGAAGAGAAAAGATTAGGTCCCATATTTAGTCGAACAGTGAACTCTACTTGGCGTTTGATGACTTTTAGAAACAGCCTGCACCATGCATATGTTTGACGATCTAGCCTCACTACAGCATCCTAAAGAAACTGTGAAACATTAACTAATGCAACAAAAATACCCTGATCTCCAAGTTCTTTGCCATAAGCCCCGTTATAACCCGAACAAAGAAGTAAAACTCCATTAATCAGATAAGGTTTTGGTTAAGTTGAGTAATAAGGACGTTATGTCATTTTCGAGGACAAAACCTCTGCCCGCCTTCCTTAAGAATCGAACCTTCGATACATTGCGGTGAATGGACTGACACACTCCCAACTGTTGTATGCGGCTTCATTCCACTACAGCAGGAAGGTAATATATGTCTTCCTTCCTCTGTAGATATCGTAAGCAGTATTTAGTAACACTGTCTTGTTTCAGGTTTTAGAAAATGCAATTTTGTTTTAAAGGGCCTGTTTCCAGTAATGTTAATTCTCCATATGAGCCTGCCCCCGTATAATTTCTTATCTAGCTCAACTACTGTTTTTTTCTTTTCCGAAGAATAATTTTACACCTTTCCGACACCCAGATTTCATAATTTCAGTGAAAATGTATTTTTATAAAGTTGTCAATTTCAGCATCAAAGACATAAGTTCGTAAATCAAAGAAGGTTATCTCGAACTTGTAATTCGCAACATAGTATAAATTTCTTTTGATAAATATTTCCAAAACATCGTGTTTATTCATAAAACATAAATAAAATTATTCTCGGATAAAAATGCACTTGCAGAGACACAATTATGAAGAAAAATGCCATAAAATTGCAATTTTCTCCCGTTATATAGTTTTGGATGCAAATTTCCATCAGAAAATCGGATAGAGCTTTACTTGTTTCATATGTGTACCAAAAATCAGCTAATTCCATGTGGTGGAACGTTCTCATATCGCCGCCTGAATGTGGTTGTAAATTGAAAGAAAAGGGGAAATGAGTAACAACCTTGTCTGAAACCCTATTATATAGCTTATTATATACAAACTTTTATATTGAATATCAGAGCGGATATTTTCATGACAGTTTTATGATGTGTAACGACTAAATAAACAGTATCGATATAAAGATTTACACTGAGGACACCCTGATACATGAATACTGTTCTATCTCAAGTTGTCCTCTTCTGAATTTTCTGATCGTGTGGCCTTGTACATTTATCCGTATCTTCTTGTCTTTGTCTATACGTTTACGGAATCATTGACTCGACGCTAGCTATTCTTGTCTCACTTTCCTTGTTTTATTGTCCCATCTCCAAAGCGTTGTGGCTCTGTCAGGGTTGGGACCCTGACTTGTCTCACTTTCTTTGTGCCTGCCGACCACGCCACATCGAATAGATAGATTATCCATATGAAATACTTTATTTTGTTCTAAGTAATCAATCAATTCTGCGCTTCTTGGAGGTATTGAATGTGATTTATTATATTGTCTTGTTATTTTGTGTAATTAGTTGTTCGTTATTTATCACACATTTTCGCATAATTGTACCAAACTACTAAGTATTAGCTGTTTACAGCAATCATCGGTGGCTTGCTATTTTGTTACTTTATCGACGCTTCATAAACCAATCGTTATTGTTTCAAGATGGAGGGTAAATGTGTTGGAGAAGGGTGTCAAGTATACTTCAAGAAACGTAGTGGCAATAAGAACAGAAGTGCACGCAATGTAAATAGTCCACAATATAAATGGCTCCTAGATACGCTGGTGCAACAAGGATTGATGTCAGCAAAGGAACAAGCACTTATTTGCCAGAAGTGCTACATGAAGTATCTTCGGAACAAAAATCAGCCTGAACCTGAACCCGAGCAGAACCAGGAAATAGAGGAAGAAGACGACTCCCCGTCCCATATCCTGCCGTTGCTGACCCTTCATGATCTTTTGAATGGATCATCTTCACACAAAAAATGCTGTCTCTGTCTTGTTACCTTTGCAAGAAATGGAACAAAATCATCAGTCTTACCAAAACGTGCAAGACATCACCTGATCTATTCACACAAACTGTGGTGTCCCACCTCATCCCGCGTCTGCTCCATTCACCTTATTGGTAACGACTTAGATCCGTCTACAGAGGTTGTCCTTGATGGTAGAGGTTCCTTGGAATCTCAGTTACCATCAAAATCGTCCGAAATCATTAATGACCTCCTAGAGGTGTCGCACGTCCTTTCACAGAACCAGTCTGCGTTTACAATAAGCTTTTCTTCTCTTGATGACTCGGCATGCATGGCCTGGACAGGTTGGTCCAAAGATCAGTTCCTCGAAATCCACTCGCACTGTTCCCCATATCTTTCATCTGGTATATATACCAAGACTACACACGATGCTCTATTACTGTTCTGGGTAAAACTGAAAACCGACATTTCCTGGAGTCAGTGTTCTTCTCTTTTTGGAATTTCCAAGTCAAGTGTGTCCAAAACTTTCCACTCCATAGTACAGGCATTAGACACATCGATAGTCCCACAATTTCTAGGTCCGGATCACTTGACAAGAGAACAGTTGCTCGGGCACAATACTGTCTTTTCAGAAGCATTTTTTGGAGATAAAGCCACTGCCATATTAGATGGCACCTATATTTATATCCAGAAAAGCTCCGACCACAAGCTCCAGAGAATGTCCTACTGTGGCCAGAAGAAGAGAAACTATCTCAAATTCATGAGCATCGCCTTACCAGATGGCTACATTCTGGACACAGTAGGACCATTCACTGGCAGCGAAAATGATGCTACAATTACAAAAAAAGTCATGGACAAGCTAGTTACTTGGCTACAACCAGACGACAACGTTGTCGTTGACCGAGGTTTTAGAGATGTCCTACCAGTTCTCGAAGCCTCTGGCCTCAATGCTAGCATGCCGTCATACCTGAAACCCGGTCAAAGTCAACATTCTGACGTCCAAGCAAATCTTGACAGAACTATCACCAAATCGAGGTGGATTGTGGAATCCTATCATGGTCGTCTGAAACACTGGACGTTCTTCCGAACGCAAT